GGAACCACCCTAAATCCAGATCTGCCCTAAACCCTGAGCAAAGTCACCTTTCATGCAATGAATGTCACTGCAAATGACCTGGGTCCAAGGCAAGCCCATTTCCACAATGGAGAGTCCTCCCTCTAAGCAACATGGGTAGGCTGACAAGGAAATGGCCATGCGTCATTCCTACTTGGCTATGGCTCTCAGCACCTGTTCAGAGCTAGCACCTCCCTAGCACTTGACAGGCAGTGCAGAACCCTCCTGCGTACAAGAAAACAGACTCCCCCCGCAGGGCCGGACCCCCTGTCCGACTGGTCAGCAGGTCTACATTCAGATCAGGGCTCAGTCTACATTTAGAACGAGTCCTCTGAAGAAGCGCCAGGCCTGACAGGAGCCAAGAAGGCTCTCCCTGATGAGGTCAGCAAGTTCTGTGAGAGCCAGGCACACACATGGCACTGTCCCCAGGGCTGGGGAAGGGGCGGAACACGAGGCTGGACAAGGGTGAGTGTACTGGTCAGGAAGCATCTTTCAGGGTGCTGAGTGGCCCCGGGCAAGGCCTCAGGAAGGGCTGCGAGTACTACTAATGCAGCTCCCAGCAGCAAGAACAAAAGATGGGCGGCCTGTTCTAGGGGAGCAGACAGGCCAGGTGGTTCTGGGAGACAGGGCAAGAGGAAATCAGAGACTGGAAATGCATGTGTCAAGTGGACGTACAGCAGACACTGGCTTTCTGTCCTTTTCCCCATATTTTTTCTTGGTGCAGTGTAGTTCTACAGAGCTGTGAGGATTGTTCCATATTCATCCTCGCACACCGTGTGACAGTAAGATTTGCTCCTTTCCCCTCTTCTCATCCCTCCCCTGGTCCCGTTCCTCTACCCGTTTCTCCTTAACTTTCATGAGATCCCCAACATCTTTCGTTTCCTCTTTCCTCTCTAAGCTCCCACATGAGACAAAGCACAGGATCCTTGACCCTCTGGGTTTGGCTTTTGATGAGTGCCGTCCTGTTCTCCAGTCCCATCCATCTTCCCAGCAGTGCCTTCTTATCCACAATTTCACTTGCTGCAGCTTTGGTCAAACCAAGGTCCCAAAACATTAATATGTGTCTTGGCTCTTTCAAGAGAAAGAGCACATTCACATAACTTTTATCGCACTACATTGTTAGAGTCATTCTATTTTACTATCAGTTATCGTTGTTAATGTCTTACTGTGTCTAATTTATAGATTAAACATTATCACACGTTTGGGAAAAAAACATGGTACTTATGGGGTTCAGGACTGTGCAGAATCGCAGGCATCTGCCAGGGTCTTGGAATATGTCCCCCCACGAATAAGGGGGTGAATACTGTACCCTGGAAGGCCATAAATCCCAGAGGATTCGCTGCTCGCCACAGCAACATGCTGTTGAGTGGACACCAGTTTCCCTGAGAGGCTTGGTGGCTGTCCTCTGGAGACCAGCCTAAAAGTGGGAAACATCATTATAAAACTGGGCTCAATGACAGCAATGGCGATAACAGGACTCCAAGACAACAGAAAGCGTGTGACTGCGGGTGACCCCGATGTCAGGTAGATGCCAATATTGTAAGGAACAGCAAGGTCGGAGAGGCCACCAGGAAGTCTGACCCACTGATGATCACAGAAAGGTCAAGACAGCATACCCCTCAGGGGCTAAGTAGACATGCCCCGTCAGAAGAAATCAAGAATGGAGGATCTGGAGAGTGGGGCCAACTCAGGGAAAAGTCACAGCCCTTGCCTAGTGTCCAGGCCAAAGCTGGGTGTGTGGCCTGGGACCCAGGAAATGAAGTAGAGGCTGGGTCTGCAGGAAGGACTGCGACTTCATAGACTCTGTGTACAGCAATAATCCCCAGTTCCACCCCAAAGGGACCTGTCATCACCACTTGGCTAACTGAGCACTCTGGTCCAAAGCAAGCCCCATGGTTGGCCCAGCGTCAGCAGGAGAGGCCCTGCATCGGCCTGCTTAGAGTGGGGGGTAATCTGAGGTACCCTGAGGAGGGATGAGGGCCCTCTTCCTGGCTTACTGATGGCCATCTTGCTGTTTCTGTCCATGTCTTTTCCTCTCTGCCAGCACACCAGCTGTCTCTCGCTCTACTCATAAGGGGCCAGCCATAACAGATCAGGGTCCACCTGATGATCTCAGTGAACCGTAATTACCTCCTTGAAGGCCCTTTCTCTCAACAGTCACATGAGGGGTTAGCACTTCCGCATATGCACGGCGAGGGGTACAACACAGCCCAAAAAAGGGGTCCAGCAAGGGGTGTGGCAGAGGGAGGGGGTGACACTTCATCCCTCTACGTCAATGCAGCTGAGCTGCTGCACCTCACAGGCCAACTCCTCTTCCCTCCGTGACCTGGTCCTTCAAGCAGGTCCTAGAATCTTCCTTATTTAGCCCTCCACTTTACATCCTGCATCTACACAATTACCAACTCTGGACATTGTTTCTCCGTTACATATGTCACATGCTCAATTTCTCCTTGTCCCCATTAACCCTGCTCTGCTCAGGTCCTCACGGTGAGTCACCCAAATGGCCTGTCTTCAGTGTCTTCTCTCAAACCCAGTGACCACATTCTCATGTATGTTATCTATCAAGAGCGCAAGACGGACCTCCAGGTTCAACCACACAAAATCCTTACATTGACCCCAAATACTGACCAGATGCGGCCTGAGCGTTGGGGTCCCTCCCAGAATGCCTGCATGGGCCTTTCAAGCCTCCTGTTCTCCCACCCCCTGCCACCAGCATCCGGCCCCTAACGTGGGTTCCGTCAGCACACCCACCAACCTGCTGTTCCCACTCACAGGTTTCTGGCCTCCCGTCCTCATGGACACTCAACTTTCAGTCCTCAGCACCCAGTGGACACAGGGCCTCAGTTCATGTTTGCTGAGAGAAATGAATGAAAGTAATGGGTTTACAAACAGTTTGGTAAGGCCAGGGTGCCCCCAAAGAGGACAGTTTAGGGAGAGATGGTGGGGATGAGGACCTTGTCTTGTCTCTCAACACACATCCCCACCCTGATGTCAGTCTCTGGACACACACACTTCTCTTCAGGCCTGCTCTTGTGATTGAACTGCATCCCCCCCCCACCCTGCTTGATTGGTCAGGGACAGTAGAGAGAGGTCTGGCTGGGACTCAGGAAATGTGACTTCAAGCGTGAATGCTGCTCCTCTAGGCTGTGCGACTTCAGCCTCTGTGTGTTGTTTAATCTGTTTTTTAATCTCTATGCATTTCTCCTTCCTTATCTATAAAAAGAGATTAAAATACCCACCTTGCTGGGTCAACGGGAAGATGAGATTAGATAAGGAAGGAAAGCACTTAGCTCAGTGTACAGAACACCACAGGTGCTCCACAAACGGAATCTAGAAAGCTTGAAGAATCAAAATAAAGACTTATGTAGTAAGTAGAGTCTTCCACGAGGGATCAAGCGATTTCACCTATGGAAGGCAACGTACTCCCAATCGGAAGGAACCCAAGCCCTTGGCAGACAGAGTGGCCAGCTGGGCCCTTTCTGGGCGACTCTACAGCTCTCTGCCTTCTCTTTGCAAATTAAACAGCCCCCACTGTTTAGACACAGCCCCCCACGTCTGGATTTCCGTCTGCTTTTCCATAACTTATGACGTGCTCTGTCTGGCCGGCATGTGGCTGAGGCCCTGGGTCACTTGATCTCCACCCTGTTAAAGAGGTTGAGGCTGCAGCCAGGAAGAGCCCCCTGAGGGGTTGTACCACACCTCACAGCTCACCATTAAGATCTCCAGAGTCGGGATCCAGGAAGACATGCCTGGGAGTATCGCTGGCCAAGGCAAAGAGTTTGCACATTCCAAGAGCTTTGGGGAAGGAGAAAAGAATGGGAGATCGGGTGAGAATGAGCCTCGTCCTGCAGAGACCATGCTTGTTCCTCACCTCCGATCCAGCCAGTGTGCTCCCTTGGTCTTCATTCATTTCTTTCCCCAAAGTCTGCCCTGGTTCAACTGTACTGCAGTCCAACGGGAAAGGGAACAGAGACTAAAGCAGGGCCGGAGACTCAGAGGGAAGGAAAACCCCCTGCAGCCCAGAGAGCTGTGGCGGCCACGTTGCCCACGGGGTTGCTGTCTTCTAAGCGCCCCCATGCCTTGACCAGCTGAGAGGTTTTCCTGTTTCCATTTACTTATATCCACTCATCCAGCACTCACCTCCACTGAGTTGTTTAATATAGAAGGCAGCCAGAGATTTTTGAACTTGAGCTTACCAAGGGGGATAGAAAAAATTTTCCCAAACAGAAGAGTCATATTTGTGATATTAATTAGTCATTTCAGAAAGTACTCAGTGGCACTACAGAATATAAAGTGTTTACTGCGTGTCAGGCACTGCCCTTGGGGCTTTACATAAATTAAACATTTCGGTTTTTATAACAAGCTAACGAGAAAGACAGTGTTCTTATCCCTACGTGATATATGAGAAAAATGAGGCACAGAGAGAGTGAACAGCTTCCCCAAAGTTACACAGCAAGCGGGTGACCAAGTCGGAGTTCAGATAGCCCATCTCCAGGATGCACACTCTCGACAGTTGTCTTCTGTCATCTCTTAGAAAAATGCAAAAAGAAAGATCTCAGCAGGGGGAGAAGGTGCAGGAGCGAGCCTTCTTCCTGCACCTGGGCACTGCTCTACCAAGGCCCCGAGGGGAAGAGGGTCACTGCTCTTCAGAGCTTAGTGGTGGTGCTTTGGCTGAAACAGAGGAGAACAGGATGAAAGCTGGGGCTGAGCCCTCAGCATAGCCTCACAGCAGGAGGGGGCCTGGTGGGCCAGGCAGGGAGGCAGGATGCCTGCCTAGGAGGGCTTCACCCCACGTCCTCCACCTCCACCACTATACAGCTGCCCCACCCACTCCACTGTGCGTACCAGGCGGAGCCCCCAGGAGCCAAGAAGAGCAGCTGCAGGAGCGGCTGGCCTTCAATGACGAGGGCATTTTGCGTTTTAATTAAGAGCCGCGAGCACTTGTTCTTGTTTTCATTACCCAGCCCCTGGCAGGCAAGTACCTGAGAGGAGCAAACCAGGAAGCAGCCGCTGCAACACACAGGCAGAAACTCCATGTCCAGAAGGAAGCCCTGGGCCCACGTCCCTCCTTCCCAAAGCTCGGCCTCCAGAAGGGCTGCGCGGCCCTTCCTGCCTGGGCCATCCCAGCTCCGCCTCCAGTGCCCTGCCCGCCCGCTGCCCCGCACTCCGGCTCACCTCCCTCTGCCCTGACCTGCAGCGCCATCTGCCCACCACAGCAGTGGGAAGTGGCTTCAGCACCTCCCAGGACGTCAGACTACTCTGCAGCAGTACTTCCCCAGAGCTCTCTCACCAGGGCACACCTCCCTCCCCAGGGGCAGAGGAGAGGACTCGCTCAGAGTCCCATGAGTAGTGACGGCGGTGTCATCACAGGCCTTCTGAGTGAGCAGCGGGGCTTCCTCCCTGGCCCTGGGCTGCCTAGCAAGCTTCCAAGTCCACTAGTACACCTGGGGGCGGTGTGGGGTCTCTTCCCCAAACCCTTGGCGACCTGTAAGGTCCGGAGCAATGCCCTTCCTGCCCACCCTGCCCGTCCCCGTGGGCCGTCTTCTCTCCACACCTCACACCAGCCACGCGAGCTCGTGTCTTTCTAACCGACAGCTCCACGGCTCTCCTGTGTCTCCTGGGCCTTCGCCCAAGTTCTCTGCCTCCCCTGCCACCCCTTTGCACCCTGTCCAGCAGCCTCCTGGCCCCTCCACCCCAGTTTGAGGAGCACCTCGGCCACAGGGGCTCCCTGGTCGTGAACAGGTGCCCTCTTCCTGCTTCCCACCCCCAGGCGCTTTGATGTGCTAAGGGCCTTAACGCGCCCTTTGTGTTCTATATCTACCTTTCTGTAACTCCCTTGCCGTCCGCGTCCCCCACCACAGGCCTACGTGTGTGGAAACGCAGCTGTACCTATTTTGCTCCTCCCAGCAGCCCTTTCGCCTGCTATTGTGTCTGCCAGCCATCGCTACCCAGCTCTCTGCTCACACACACAGGCACATGCACACACACGCGCACACAATGCGTACTGAATAAATAAATGGGAAACAAGATAAAAGAAAACAGCAATATGGAAACAGTGCTGGATTTAGATAACCTCAAAAATCCCTTTTACTTTTAGAATTCGATAAGAACATCTTTTTAGACAAGAGGGGGAAACTCAGGTTCCGTTCATTTAAAAAAAAAAAAAAAGTCCTCTGAGAAAAAAAATTGGCCTTCCTTATCTACGCTGTCTAGCAGGAGCGTGGGGCCTCCAGGTTTAATTGTGCCATCTGCGGAGGGGCTCCTCTCGAGAAGCTGGCGATGAAGACGTTAAAGGTGCTCCTTTCACTGGACAGAGAAGCAGCCTGGCCGCAGCAGCCAACTCAGTGGCCTTTGGAAGGAGCCAAGAGCAAATGAGCTTCTAAATGCCCCACAGCTGCGGAGGAGAGTCCAGATGGGTTCTCTTGGAAGTTGAGCCCCAGCACACAAAACTGTTCTGCCTGCCATTTGCTTAACTCAGCCATGGGAGGAAAAAAAATCTTCCCCCTTTGTTTTGATACACTCCATTGAAAACAAATATTGGGCCCAGCTGTCTCCACTCTCAGATTTAAGAGTTGAAATCAGGACCAGAAAATAGACTTGCTTCTCACCTTCCGCAGCCTCACCTCCTACCCCAGGATGGCCCAAAGGAGCAGCATGGGTTTATTGAGTTTCTGTTCTGGCCTTTAAAGGCTAAAGTAAAATGAGATGCATTCAAAATATAGAATTGAACTGGCTGTACATTAACCAGTTAATTAGCCTTGGCGAGATCGTGAAACTTGGCTTCTTAACATATAAAAAGAAGATTAAAAGATTTTATATGAATTCTCTTTCCCACAGGATTCTTTTAAGGACCCGGAGGCTTACAGTGCCATGCAGACTTGGGATGACTCTTGATTCTGTGACTTGTTAGCTGGGTGATCTTAGACCCGTCATCTAACCCCTGGGATCCATGTCGTCCTCATGTATATACGGAAAAGCAAAGAGCACCTATTGCTGTAAGGGCTGTTGTAAATATTAAATAAGAAAATTTTGATAGTGTTTAGTGTACGACTGGAACATGGTAGGATCCCAAGAAATTATAAAATCAATAGCCATATTAATGTCCCTAAGAAAATACAAGCTAGAAATCACCAGAACAGTAAGCTCAGTCAAGACTGCCATGATTATCAACCAGATCTAACCTGCCCCTTCATGAAGAGCTTCCTAAGAATCATCCTCTTCTCTGTCCTGTTCCCAGACTCCCACAGAACATCTCCATACTGCATGTTTGGAGCCTGGATTTTTTTCCTGTGTTTTCTTCAATGATTTCAGTGACTATTAGAAACAAATGTAGCCTACTTAGGTCACATCTCCTGAGCTGGGGGTGGGCAGGGGAAAGTACCTGGGTGGGGGTCCCCTAACCAAGGGCCTAGTCCCCCTCTAGGGGTCTAGGGACTTCATTTGGTTTTCGTTCCAGAACCTAGCATCTCAGGGACTCACCAGGGTCACCCCATACACACATTAAATACAAACACATCATTGTATATACCCCAATTCTAACTCCAGAGGGAGAAAAGAAGGGTTTGCCTTCAGTAACTTCCAGGTACGAGGACACATCTTCTCATAGCCCTGGGACCCTTGCTAACCCAAAGACCTGATGATACCTGGCATGAGTCAGTGCCCAGTCATCAATAGTTGAATGAACCAATGGTTACAATTAATGAGACGATTTTTAGGTTATCCGTTTTCTACTGCCACATTAATGAAGCAAAACAAGACACCAAAAAGCCTCAGTGACAAACACTAGGTATGTGTTGCTTACCTGTGGCAGGTCAGCTGCAGGAGGGCAGGTGAACTGCGTCTTGGCCAAGAGGTGGTGTGCTTTGCCAATGGGCTCCATCTGTAGAGGAGCAGGCCAGAGCTCCTCCAAAGCCTGGTGCCCTCCTAAGAATCCCAGCTTGCCCAGGCGCCCCTGCAGGCAGTGGTGGATAGGCAGGGGACAGGAGACTCCCAGGACACACACAAATGAGCTTCCCCAGTACATCTAGCACAAATTCCAACAGGCTGGGCTGGGCCTGAACCTGACTCTAGCAGTGGCAGAGATCTAAGAGACAGAATTTGGGCCAGTGCTATTAATGAGCTAGATCTAACAATGGGCCGGGGAGTGGGGAGGGGTGCACTGGGGAGAGGAATGTTTGCCTGGAGTCGGCAGACCAGCCATCTCAGCCACTGCATGCAAAGCCATTTGCTTGGCACATGCAGGTATTACCCCCCAAGGGAGCACTTCCTCTTCCAGCTCTCAGATAAGAAATCTTCAGGTGCTGAGTGACTTAGTATACATCTTCTGAATGCCTGGATCCAGGACTCAGAATGGTCCTCCTGGGACCAAGACTGTAGTTACCCACACAAACCACTGTGACTGAAGGTCTTAAAAGAACTTGCAGAATTCAGTCAAAGCCACTGATTTCCTCTGCCCAGCTCCACATTAGAAGCTTGGAGAAATTCTTCCATCTTTGCAGTTTGTTCACATTGGAAAAATCTGAACACAGGGTGAGGCACAAGTCTGTGATGTTCAAGGTCACTCTACCTGCAGGGGCATCTTCTTATGTCACTGCTCCTTATGCCACTATTGTCACTATTCAAAAAACATGTATTTGTAGTAACATATGCCAGCTGTTGGCATATGACAGAGACAGAAGAATAAATCACAATCCCAAACCCAAAGAACAGCTTGTCTTCCTTAATGGAAAATAGAAAACCAAAAATTATTATACAACCATTTGGAAAAGCATTACAATGGGCACGTGAAGTATATGACATGAGATTAAACAATGAGCTCTAGGGAGAAGCTGACATTGGTGTAGGTTCTGAAGGTTGAGGGGGAATTCCAAGGGGAGGGAATATGTGTACTGAGCATTATAGTTCAGCTCCTTAAAATTCCTCCCCATCATCATTGTAGCGGAGACTAAAAAACTAAAAGTCCACATTATACAGACTCCCTTGCAGCTACAATCTAAAGACAAATTAGACTCCACCAATTATATGCATTTCAGTGAGCTATGAGAGGCAGAAGTAAGCTAAACCCACCTATCTGCACTTTTCAGTGGTTAAGAAGGTCTTAGGGAAGGAGGGATTTTCTGCCAAGGCATCCCAGCTCTGTCTGCCAGCTTTGGGTCTTCTAGTAGGCATTTGTAATGGCGGAAGAGGTCCTCCAGTCCCTTAAGGGCCTCAGATATAGAAGCCTCCCTGGTGAATCAATTTTATGCTGATCTGGGAGTGATTCATTCCAGTGATTTTGTTAGCACTGAATTCTTACCCCAAATGCCTTTCTGCTTAAAATACTTAAATTGATTTCTATTTCCTGCACTCAACTTTTACTGGTATTGAATTTGGAGCCAAACAAATCCTTAAAGATGAGAACTTGAGATTTGTTATCTGAGCATACTGGGTTTAAAGGCAGGGACAATATCATTGTCCGTTGAAAGCAGGCGGCATGACACAAGATAGCAAGACACTTACCTAAACGATTGCCTCTGAGCTTCCAGCTAGGATGATCCAACTGGTATCTGATGTACCTCAGACACAGACAATCATAAAGCTGAGAAATAGAGACAAGGTATCTGTTTCCAGGCGGGCAACATTAAGCTGCACAGGACTGGAACTCTCAAGAAGAGAAATTCACAAATGAGCCTCGTAATCACCCCAGATCTCTGTGAAGCAGTAACATCCTGGCTGAGAACTGGTTCTACACATGGCAGAGTAACTCACTGAACTGAACAGAGAGGCTGGGGCCTTGGAGCAGGGTATCGGAGGGGACAGAGCTTACTGATGGCGGAACAGGGAGGTGACCAACTAGTCAAAGAACAAGCAGAAGGGCTGGGGATATAGCTCAGATGGTGGAGTGCTTACCTCAAATGCACAAGGCCCTGCGTTCAACGCCCGGAACCCCCCAAAAAAATTTAAAAAAAACAAGCAGAAGCAGCAAGTGAGACCACCAAATTTACCACAGGGAGTAGACTAGAGACACTCAAGATTGAGTGGGGGCCCCAGAAATTTGGCCCAACACTAGAGGATCAGGACCTCACTAGCAATTTGTTAACAGCTCAGATATCAAGCTGATATAGCAGAGGGACCCTGATTTAGATTTAAAGAC